CCATATCTAGCATGTGAGGTGTGGTCTAACAATTTAAGGGTGTGGTCTAACATCTGGGGGGTGTGGCCTGTATGTGTTGGACCACACCTCCAGATATTTGACTTAACCCCCATATGTCAGATCACACCTCCATGTGTAGGACAAAACCTTACATGTTAATCCACCACACCAGGCATGCCATGTGTTAGACCCCGCCCACACATGCCAGGCCACACCCCTCAGCACAGCAGTGGAGCGTCTGTTCTCTGTTTATGTATGTAAGGCTGCAGCTGTTGGAGGCGCTGCTGTCATGTGATCTGGAGGTGATGGAGACTGATGTGCTTAGAATTCTGATCAAGCGGAGGGACATTTACGGTCGTGTTTGTCATGTGTGAGCAGACAGGCCGTGTGTTGATCACATCTCACAGTTCCTCCACAGTTAATGAGTGTGTGTTGCTGGAATAGTGTGTGTGCTGATGTGAATGTGCTGAAGCAGCTGTGATAAGAGGTTCAGACACACACACACACACACTGTGCTGATCGCTGACCTCTGACCTCTGCTACAGCAAACACACCTGACTGCGTCCCACTGACCGCCTGTCCACCTCTCAGCCAGATCCAGAGTCACTCCAAATGAAAATGAGTCTATTTTGTGGTGTGGAAATGTCTCATTAATCTGCACTGTCCCTGTCAAACTCAGATCAACACATCTGCTGAGATCAGTTCAGTTTCAGCCCTCAGATCTGTTTTACATGAGGAAACGAGCTGATCTACACCAGAAGCTCTGAGTGAGTGTGTGTGTGTTCCCTCATCAGTGTGCAGTGTTCACTCAGTGGACAGCACTCGACTCTCACTGCAGTAAAGGCTGTTCATCATGCAGCTGCAGGAGTGGAGAGTGTAGAGAGACAGTGTTCATAACAGATACAGCAGCGGTGTCTGCAGCCTTCCTGAAAGTATGAAACAGAGAGTGCTCAAGTGTTTCTAATGTTGAGAAACGTCTCCAAACTACACCATGAAGAAAACCTTCACTCGAGTGTTCTCCTGCTGGTAGATTGATGTATGAGCCGTACGCCAACAGAATGAGCGGAGAAGGTTTCTGGATTTAACAAAAGTCAGACCTCAGTGTGTATGTGTGTGTGTGTGTGTGTGCATGCGTGTGTGTGTTTGTGTTTGTCCGGCTGCTGTTGGTTCTGGTTTAATGTTTTTGGGTTTTGGCCTCCTGCCCCACACACATGATCAGCCAATCAGCTGTCGCCAGCAGTTCATCTCTCAGCCAATCACCATCCGCGTCTCCTGCACGCCTCGACTCCACATCAGCCTCTGCACTCCTGCTGGTGTGTGTTTAGCACTGAACAAAACCACTGACAAAAACACCCCTGTACTGTTCTGCTCTGTTCTGTTCAGTTATATTCTTTCATATGTTATTCTATTCTGTTATTGTTTTGTTCTACTTTATTCTCTTCTAATCTATTTTATCTGATTCTATTCTATTGTTCTGTTTTATTCTATTTATATTCTGTTCTGTTCAATTCTATTCTGTCATATCTGATTCTCTTCTTTTTTATTGTTCTGTTTCATTCTATTTTATCTCTATTTCTATTATATTCTTTTTTCAGTGCTATTCTATCATATCTGGTTCTATTCTAATTTATTGTTCTGTTCTATTCTGTTCATTCATATTTTATTGCTCTATTTTCTTCTATTCTATATTGTCTAATCAAGTAATATTTTGTTACCATATTCTATTCTATTCTATTATATTCTATTCTATTCTATTTTTATTCTATTCTATTCTATTCTATTCTATCATGTTTAGTTCTATTCTAATTTAATGTCTTGTTCTATTGTTATCTATTCTGTGCTGTTCTGTTATATCTTGTCTTTTTCAATTCTATTCTTTGTTTTGTTCAGTTCTATTCTATTCCATCATGTCCAGTTCAATTCATTTTATTCTCCTGTTCTATTCAGTTCTATTATATTTAATTCAATTCTGTTTTGCCCTTTCCTTTTCTGTTCTGTTCCGTCATGTCTTATTCAGTTTTATTTTCTGCTGTTCTACTCTATCATGTCTAAATTAATTCTATTTTATTCTCTAATTCGATCCTTTTATAGTCCTCTTCTATTTTGTTGTATTCTGCTCTGTTTTGTTCTATCGTGTCTACTGCAGTTCAGTTTTATTGTCGTGTTCTATTCTGGTCTATTATAATCTGTTCAGTTATAATTTATTTTCTGTTTTATTTTATTCTGTTTGGTTCTTTTCAATTATATTCTATAATATTGCTTTCTTCTGTTATAATACCCTATTCTATTCTGTATTCTGTTCTGTTTTATTATTTTCTTTTCTGTACTATTTATTCTGTTTCATTGTTATATTCTATTCTTTTTTTCTGTTCTATTCTATTCTGTTCTGTTCAGTGTTGATCTATACTGTTCTGTTTTGTTTTATTTCTATTCTGTTCTATTATATTATTTTCTGTTCTTTTCTCTTCTCTTCTCTTCTCTTCTGTTTTCTACTGATCGGTTCTATCCTGTACTGTTTGATTTTTATTATATTTTAGTATATTCTCTTCTGTTCTCTTCTGTTCTTTTCTGTTCTGTTCTATTTTATTCTGCTCTATTCAATTCTGTTCTATCATATTTGATTCAATTCTATTTTATTGTCGTGTTCTATTCTGTTCTGTTCTATAATATTCTAATCTATTTCTATCTGATTAAATATTTTTGTTCTATTCTGTTCTTTTCTATCATGTTGCATTATGTTCTGTTATCTTCTATTCAGCTATGTTCTTGTTCTGTTCAGTTTGGTCTGTTCTGTCTTGTCAGTCTTAATCAGTTTAAATAGTTTTTCTATTTCTATTCTATTCTATTCTATTCTATTCTATTATATTCAATTATATTCTATAGAATTAACACATTTGTCCCTATAAAATTAATCCGTTTGAATTTGAAAAATATGGAATATTGAGCTGTATTTCTGATAGTTTGTCTCTTTAAATGTAATTAAATTAAATTAAGTACAAAATTCCTTTTTTACTGTATTGCAGATTTCTAAAGCTCATTAAATCAATGAAAGCAGCCAAGACGGTACCGGCACCTGTGTGTGTGTGTGTGTGTGTGTGTGTGTGTGTGTGTGTGTGTGTGTGTGTGTGTGTGTGTATGTAAATGTTATGCAGATGAGTCTGAGCGCTGTGTATGAAGTGAACTTCAGCTCTGCTCTCTGTGCGTCTGCAGTAGGTCAAAGTCACTCAGAGGTCAAAGGTCAGAGCGCATGGAATGTGTGCAGACGATCCAGTTTCTCTGAACCCTGGCAATCTGGT